TAAGGGTAAAAAGCTCAGTGGCAGCGCAACAAGGAGGTTGGAGAATCCAAGGGTACAGAACCGGCAAGGGTCTCAACCTGCTTCATCATCGACTTCTATGCGGGCCAACAGTAAAGCTGGGTCTGTTGGTCAGGCACGAAAAGGAGTTCGCGCCGATAAGAGTCAGACACCTCTCCACAACAGGAGAAGAGAAGGAGGCAAAGACCCCTAGTTGGAACCGCCTAATTCTCCCAAGTGTCAAGATCTGGGATTGCACCTCGTTTCTGAGAAGTTCGCCTCACAAGAGGGGCGATTTTAATTGAGTGTCTTGACTCAGATTCTCGGGAGTGGTTAAATGTCCACGTACCAAATATCTGTCAGGCAATCGAGGGTCTGCCACTTAAAGTGATAGATACTTCTAACCTCATTAAGAGGGCCAGGGTGGTTGCTTGGGTACCAGGTCCTAAGGTGGACCAAGTTTCAATCCTGACTAACCTCAGGTAACAGAATCCTGGGGTGTATACAACTAATTGGAGGTTGTATTCGGGAGGTTAAACAGAATCAGGGGTAGTTTCTACGGCTGCAAGCTGGACTCTCGCGGTAGATGTGCCTGAGAGTAAGCTGGGTGTGCTTGAGTGTCTTCACTACAAACTGTGTTTCGGTCTTAGGCATATCACTCTTCGAGTGAGTAAGCACAGAATGGATCCGATGAGTTGTAGACAAGACACGGCTAGCGAAGCGACGGAGGATTTCGTGGATAAGTCTTAATATTGACGGACCACAGTATTCAATGTTCGCAGATTAACTTGCATCACTGTATAAGCGCAACGGCGATTCTAGCCAAGAACTTTACAGCTATTGCCTTCATTCAAGAACCTTGGGTTTACAAGTGTAAGATTAGAGAACTAAATAACTGTGGGGAGTTAGTGTATTCACCACAAGAATTACCACCCAGGGCGTGTATTTTCTATAAGGGAGTAAATACGGTTCCTCTTTCAGAGTTAACTAGTCGAGATCTGGCAGTTATAAAAGTCATGTATCGAGATAAAAATGGAAGTAAGAAAGAGTTGATTCTTGCCTCTGGTTACTTTCCAAGAACAGAAAATGAACTCTTACCACCGGACAAGGTGTACTGTCAGTACTGGCCTCCCTGTTAATCCAGACAAGACAAATATTGTTTTCTTCACTAGAAAATACAAAGTTCCAACTGTGAGGAAACCTGTATTTTATGGAAAAGAAGTGCTTTTTTCTGATTCGGTTAAATATCTAGGAGTGATTCTGGACAAGAAGCTAATCTTGAGAAAGCACTCAGAATATCAATATAGTATGTTTTGCACTACTTTTTGGATTTGCAGAAGGGCAATTATATTATCTTGGGGTCTAAAACCGGATATGGTTTTGTGGCTCTATTGTATGGTCCTGTTGACAAAGTTTCTGCATGCATCAATTGTTTAGTGGATTAGAGAAAACGGTTGAAAACGGTGAACTTCTGCCTTTGAGGTCTCTTTTGAACCATTCCTCTTCAAAAATAATTGACCGAATGGAAAAATATTTTTACTAAATATCTATAAGTACTAAAGTGTCTCGAAGTGTAAAAAAGTAATTTTCTTTACCATAATCCCTTTGCGCAGGATTTTTTGACATACTGTAAAAAACTCAATACAACATAATTTTACTTTACTGAACATGGAACAGGGAAAAAAAGCTATACTGCGCATGGTGATTATTACATTTTTATTTCAAGCAATAATTATTATTTTTGAAACGCATACTTTGAAGACTTTTGTTATAGTGTAGGTTGCATGTTAGTTTGCCCTGAATATATATATCGGGCTGAAAAAACTTGTACAAGAAAATGTACATGTTCTTGTACATATTTTTTGTGCAGGTTTCATGTACAAGTACTTTCACATGAACACGTTCATGTTCTTGTACAGAAACATTTGTTTAATAAATTTTATTATTTATGAAACGCATACTTTGAGGACCTTTGTTATGGTGTAGTGTGTATGTTATTTGGTCTTGGTTATGTAAGTAACGTATACTTTGAGGACTGCTACACTGCGCATAGTGATTATCACATTTCGATTTTAAGCCTTTGTTATTATTTATGAAACGCATACTTTGAGGACCTTTGTTATGGTGTAGTGTGTATGTTATTTGGTCTTGGTTATGTATGTAACGCATACTTTGAGGACTGCTACACTGCGCATAGGGATTATCACATTTCGATTTTAAGCCTTAGTTAGTATTTATGAAACGCATACTTTGAGGACCTTTGTTATGGTGTAGTGTGTATGTTATTTGGTCTTGGTTATGTAAGTAACGCATACTTTGGGGACGGCTACACTGCGCATGGTGATTATCACATTTCGATTTTAAGCCTTAGTTATTATTTATGAAACGCATACTTTGAGGACCTTTGTTATAGTGTAGTGTGTATTTTATTTGGTCCTGGTTATGTAAGTAACGCATACTTTGAGGACTGCTACACTACGCATGATGATTATCACATTTCGATTTTAAGCCTTAGTTAGTATTTATGAAACGCATACTTTGAGGACCTTTGTTATGGTGTAGTGTGTATGTTATTTGGTCTTGGTTATGTAAGTAACGCATACTTTGGGGACGGCTACACTGCGCATGGTGATTATCACATTTCGATTTTAAGCCTTAGTTATTATTTATGAAACGCATACTTTGAGGACCTTTGTTATAGTGTAGTGTGTATTTTATTTGGTCCTGGTTATGTAAGTAACGCATACTTTGAGGACTGCTACACTACGCATGATGATTATCACATTTCGATTTTAAGCCTTAATTATTATTTATGTAACGCATACTTTGAGGACTGCTACACTACGCATGATGATTATCACATTTCGATTTTAAGCCTTAACTATTATTTATGTAACGCATACTTTGAGGACTTTTTTATAGTGTAGTGTGTATGTTATTTGGTTTTGGAAGTAACGCATATTTTGAGGACTGCTACACTGCGCATAATGATTATCAAATTTCGATTTTAAGCCTTAGTAATTATTTATAAAACGCATACTTTCAGGACTTTTTGAAAGTATACTGTACACTTTACTTTGTCCAGATTATTAATGCAATGCATGTTTTGAGGACACGGTTGTTACAAACATTGTACTCAAATTATGCGTTCTGTACATAAAATTGTCCTCAAAGCATTCGTTGTATATATAATTTTGTCCCAAAATTATGCCCTGTACATATAAAAGACGTACAAGTACAATGCATTCTTTGAAGACATTGGCGGTATATAAATTTTTAAGTCTCCAAACTATGCCTTGTGTACTTAATCCTTGATTTAAAAGTAGTAAATTTGAGTATAAATCAATTATTCCAATTGCATAATGTAGTATTTTTCATCAGGAACCTATATATGCGGCAAAAAACGTGAGTCCCCAAATCATGCTTTGTACATACATATATATATAAATATATATATATATATAAATATATAAATATATATTATATATAAATAATTATATAATTATAATTTTAATTATATAATCATATATAATATTAAATATAATACTATATTATTATTATTATTTGAAAAATTAAAATTTTTATCAAAAGTCTATTAAAATGAGGAAAATATGTGACAATTTTGTAGTCCTGATATATATATATATAAATAAATATAAAAATAAATATTTTTCTAGCTTAAAAATGGATAACAAATAATTTATTATTTTTAATTTGCAGCTCTGAGTAAAATTAATGATGTTTCTGGCTACGCCAACAATTTTTCCAATTCAATTAATTTTCATTAAAAAAATTAAAATTTTTTTTTAATTTTATTTTTTTAATATAAAAATTAATTTAATTTTAAAAACTAAATTTTTAATAAAAATTTAGAATTTAAAAACATTAAAAAACAGTAAAAAAATCGGGGATATCCGTTGAAAAAAGAATACTTCAAAAACTTAGATTTATAAACGCTATATAAATTTCAACTTTAAGCACTTAGGATGTAAAACGAAACTTAAATAATAGTAATTATCAAAAATAAAAAATTTTCATCCGCGAGTACTTGAACCCAGGCCACCAAGTTACAAAAAAAAAATTTAATTAATATTTCAATAAAACATTGTAAATATTTATTACTTACAAATAAATTATTTATTATTTTATTTAAATTGTTAAATAATAAATTTTTTACAATTTAATTAATTTATTTTAAATAGAATGAAATTTTAATTAAATAAATAATTATAATTTTATTATTTAATTTCTTTTAAATTTAATTATTAAATAAATTTAATTTATTTATTTACACGTAAAATTTTTCTTTTTTGGAAAAAATTTTTTCACAATAAATTATTATTGTAAAATAATATTTTGTAACAAGTACATCATTTTCTTGTACAGAATAAACTTACTTCTATTTTTTGGTAACTAATATTATAATTAATATTTAATAGTTTTGAATAATAACGCTTTTAAAACATTGCAGAATTTAAGGTTGCGAAATTACGTCGTGAACCTTATTAACTTGATAGTTAAAATATTTCAGGAGTTAAGCTATGTTTTAAAATATATTTTATTATATTAATTTTTTATATCTATAATTAAATGTAAAAAATTTTTATTTCAATTTCTTAAGTTGAAATTAATTTAACCTTTCAAAAATTAATTCGATAATGTAAAATATAATTATTTTTACTATCAATCAATTTTACTAATAAAACGTTAATTTCACTTAGTATGCCTTATATATATTATAGTAAATTTAATAAGTAAAACTTTCCAATTTCATCAGATATTTTTTAACTATGAATTAATTATTTTTAACTGCAATTTAAAGTCAAAGAAAATGAGGAATATGCAGGTGCTTCAATTGATACAGCCCTGATGTTTATTTTCGTTTAGCTGTTTGTTTTCATTCTGAAACGAAAAGAGCAAAAAGACAAGCTAACGGCTGGTTATGGAAGAAAATATAGAGGAAATTTGTCACGTAGGTATTTCGATAGCATTCTTGCGTCATTCGCGCGGATTGGCTGCTGACCCGAGGTTCGACTTTGTCATTGGCGGAAGGAAATATTCACTCGCTCGCTCGCTTGCAACCACGCGTCGGGACATTAGTCATTGTCAGTCATTTTTCGACGATTTACATTTTCGGTTTGTGCCCGTGCTGGATGTCAATTCTCTTTGTGCTCTGTGGGAAGGTTTAATTGCTTAATTGGTAAGTAATTTAGAAACTTTATAATATTAACCACCTAATTATTTCAATTTCTGCCACCAAATATCGAGACGCTCAATTATACATTTCTTGGGAAAATTGTAACTTTTCGTCATTTTTTCAATGAAAAGAAAATTATATAGGGTAACGGGTACAGTGACCGACACCCTGACAGTGAACGACACCTGCTATTAAAAACGATAATAACTATAAAAATAATAATATTGATTTAAATATCACTAGTAAATTAATTAATATACAATATTTAGAAACTGATACAGTAGTCACTAAATTTTATATGTTTATATTTTCCTCGATATTTTACTTTCTAGAAAATTAACCTCAAAAAATTTGCTTTATTGATTACAAATTTTATTAATATGAAAAAATTGTTAAATAATTATATTTTAAAAACAACTTTTTTTGTACATTAAATCTAAATAATAAAATTTGTTATAATATTAACCCATATGATGTTACTTAAATAGTAGTTTAAATATTTTTTATTTTATTAAAGGGTGTCGTTCACTGTTTTCATACCATACATTTTTAAATTAATATTATAAACTCTTATCAAAGTGTTTTTTAATTTTAAACTTATGTACTATAAATTTTAATGAGACAAAAGTTTTGAACGTTCAAATGAACAAAATTTTTTTAGCAACTTCTTTAAGTTCGAATTTTATTACAAAATATTGTTTTAAATATCTAAAAAGAAGTTATTAATTTAATAATTGTTTAATTTACTGTTTTAATTTACATTTACATTATAATTTTTAATAATTTATAGATTGAAAAAAATATTTTGTTCATTTGAACGTTCAGAACTTTTGGCTCATAAATTTTAACCCAAATCTATTATTTAAAATTTATTTTATAACTAAATCTTTAATAAATTCCGATAAAATGTTATTTAAAGTTGAAAGTATGCACAGGGTGTCGGTCACTGTACCCGTTACCCTATTCCAAATTTTTAGGAAAACGGCGATTATTCGTTTCGTTTTTAACTACAAAATAGTTTCTTTTGATATAAGATTTTTGGGATCTAGATATTTTTGTTAAAAATTCTAATTCTAATTCTAAAAATTCTAATTCTAATATATCAGAATTTTATTGGGTTTAAAATTTTAATTATTCAAAATTTCATTCAATTTCAATTTTTTTTATATACATAATGCGTATGTAAAAACTTTCTTAAAAAATTTTTTTATAAAAAAAACTTAATAATTTAAAAATTTTTTAATAATTTTTGACCGGGAAATTCCAAAAAATTGACCGGGAAAAACCGGGAAATGACCGGGAATTTAAAATCATAAAAAAACTCGCCACCCTGTATTAAATTATTTTAATCTTTTTTCTCAATAATTCTTTTTAAGAATTGAATTTAGAATTTTTTTAAAATAGACATTTAACGTTTTTGAGGAATTTAATTTATTGAAGTGTTTTGAGTAAAATTATTGTCACGTATTAGTTACCTATTTTTTATAAAATTATTTACTTTTTCCCCTATTTTTAAGAAAATGTACTATAATCCCTGTATTTATTATTATTATATTAATTTTTAATAAGTATTTAAATAATTTTTATTCCACTCTTTTTTGTTTTCTACTTTTTTTATATATGTCCCCAAAGATTTAAACGTTTCAATGTGAGAATTTTTTTAATAAAATTTTTCCATGTTTCAATTTTATAATAAAAAAAAGTAATATACCCAGTATAGTATTATTATATTATCTGTCATTTTAAAAAATAAATTATGTGCCTACTTGATAAATATCAAATTTATTTTTTTCCGTAAGGACAAAAAAATTTTGAAAATATGTGACCTGGACAGTTAAAAGGGACCTTTTGTCCGAAAAAATCGATTTTTTATTGATTGGTGTTTCTGATAGAGAAAACTTTTTTCTATCAGAATCACCAATCAATAAAAAATTAATTTTTTCTGACAAAAGGTCCCTTTTAACTGTCCAGGTCACATATGTTTGTTACAAACCAGAAATTTATTTATTTAAATTTTATTTTATTTAAATCGAGCTTTTGAGATGGCCCTAAATTTTAGTTTGGGGGAGGCACCAAGCTGCCAAGGTCTGAAGGACCCTGTTTAAATTTTGCGGGATCGTTATCTTACTTTTAAAAGTTGTGCTCTGCTTCGTTGTTTTCTTTGAATATTTGGTTGAAAATCAATTAGTTATGGTGTTAAAGCAAAAGGAGTTCAGTTGAAAGGTAAGTAAAATTTAGTAATTTTATTTATATTTGTTCTTTTATTCAGGAAAGAAAATATTGTGGTTAACAAGTGGATGTAAAAGTTTAATACAAATAGAGCGGTTAATGTTGAACGATACAGAATTTACTTACGACTACCGACGTCAGCTAGAGATATTCTTGTTGTCGTCGGGCAAGAACGCTTTTAATTACACTTAACTTGGTTGTCTTTACAACCTATTGTTCGAATTTTACAGGTTAAATTATTTGGTTTACCCGAATAAAATGTTTTTAACACTGCGTTGTGGGGCCACTGCAACGAAACGGCGCAGGCGCTACACGCACGGACTGGCCGGTTATTTATTAAACAAAATTCGATTTAGTAAAATATATTTACTAAACCGAATTTCTCCCGCTACAGCTCTCACGTGGACTTCGTCGGTTAGAAGACTTCTATTTTATTTTTCGTCCGCCTTTCGTGTTATACTTTTAATCTAAGTTCTACACGGGGGTCCGACGCGCAGACGGGCTAAGTCGCGGCGTTCTTGAGGTCTCGCAACACTTACCAGGCTAGAGCCAGGAGATGTTGCTCGGAAGAGTCAAGAAGTTGTACTGCAATTAATTAGATTTTGCGACTAGCCTCTAGTCCTTGCCTTCAGTGTCAAGGTGGGGAAAACGAAAATTTAGATGGAAGTAGGGGAAAATTCCTGGGCCCGGTGGGAGTTGCAATTTTGCTGATCTTTTTGATTCCCATGCAGGCTCCGTGAGAACGGAAATGGTCTGTTAATATGATACATTTCTGTAAATTATTTTAAAATAATTAAATTAAATTATAATTTACTTAACAAAATTATAATTTAATTTAATTATTTTAAAATAATTTTCAGAAATGTATCATATTAACAGACCATTTCCGTTCTCACGGAGCCTGCATGGGAATCAAAAAGATCAGCAAAATTGCAACTCCCACCGGGCCCAGGAATTTTCCCCTACTTCCATCTAAATTTTCGTTTTCCCCACCTTGACACTGAAGGCAAGGACTAGAGGCTAGTCGCAAAATCTAATTAATTGCAGTACAACTTCTTGACTCTTCCGAGCAACATCTCCTGGCTCTAGCCTGGTAAGTGTTGCGAGACCTCAAGAACGCCGCGACTTAGCCCGTCTGCGCGTCGGACCCCCGTGTAGAACTTAGATTAAAAGTATAACACGAAAGGCGGACGAAAAATAAAATAGAAGTCTTCTAACCGACGAAGTCCACGTGAGAGCTGTAGCGGGAGAAATTCGGTTTAGTAAATATATTTTACTAAATCGAATTTTGTTTAATAAATAACCGGCCAGTCCGTGCGTGTAGCGCCTGCGCCGTTTCGTTGCAGTGGCCCCACAACGCAGTGTTAAAAACATTTTATTCGGGTAAACCAAATAATTTAACCTGTAAAATTCGAACAATAGGTTGTAAAGACAACCAAGTTAAGTGTAATTAAAAGCGTTCTTGCCCGACGACAACAAGAATATCTCTAGCTGACGTCGGTAGTCGTAAGTAAATTCTGTATCGTTCAACATTAACCGCTCTATTTGTATTAAACTTTTACATCCACTTGTTAACCACAATATTTTCTTTCCTGAATAAAAGAACAAATATAAATAAAATTACTAAATTTTACTTACCTTTCAACTGAACTCCTTTTGCTTTAACACCATAACTAATTGATTTTCAACCAAATATTCAAAGAAAACAACGAAGCAGAGCACAACTTTTAAAAGTAAGATAACGATCCCGCAAAATTTAAACAGGGTCCTTCAGACCTTGGCAGCTTGGTGCCTCCCCCAAACTAAAATTTAGGGCCATCTCAAAAGCTCGATTTAAATAAAATAAAATTTAAATAAATAAATTTCTGGTTTGTAACAAGCTGATGGTGGCAGCGGTGGGATTTTCTTACGCGTTGCCGCCCTGCTACGTTACCTGGTAACGTTGTTACCAGTGGCACCAATTTTTAAAAAATCACAAAACTTCTTTTCTTATTCTACATCATTTTATGTTTTGAGAAAATCAAAATAAATTTATAGAAAATCCTGACTTTAAAACTAGAATTTGGCTCTCCAACTTCAGTTGTTGATGATGACTTATTCTCAGTTTGATTTTGGCTCTCCAACTACGGTTGTTGATGATGACTAGATCAATAAAGGAACCGATTTCTATAAAGTTTATTATTTCATAGATTTATCGACGATCATAAACGGAATATCTCTTCTTGTAAATTGGAAATTCGGCTCTCCGATATTTATCGTTGATGACGACTTATTTCCGATCGTGATCTTGGCTCTCCAACTACGGTTGTTGATGACGACTTGATCACAATAGAAAGTTGATTTCAGTCAATTGATCAGAAATAAAATCAAAACAATTAGAAATACTACTGGTTTTCTCAAGATCATGAATTCTTTCTGTTATGCCTAATAAACCAGGGATACGCGGCAAACGTTCTAAAAAATTTCAATATTAAATGATTAGTACGTAATGACATTGTTTGAATAAATAAAATTACGGATTTTGGCTCTCCGACTCAGGTCGTTGATGATGACATAATCCTAATTTGATTTTGGCTCTCCGACCTTGGTCGTCGATGATGACATAATCCGAATTCATAACATTGGCTCCGGAAAATTATTTTGTATTGAATAAGGAGAATTTTGTCCGGGTTGAAAGGTTTTATTTCTTCTTTTCACTATTCAAGTCATGTATTTTTCTAGACATGTCAAAAAAGGTTAGACCTCGTGGTGGTCGTTCTAAGAAACGAAATCAA